AATATATTTATCAATTTATTAAAGTTATAATTCATAATTATAACAATTCTTATATAAACAGAAATATGTATATGCCAATAAAAAACACATTAACATATAAATTATAGAAAAAATGGCTCCACTTTTATAAATTATACAATTATGGCTAGCTACAAGCTCTTTAATTAAACATGATTCCATTTCGTTGCGTGAGTCTTTCACATAAATGGATGTCCATGCCTAAAGTAAATATTACACCTCCCGAACACAAAATATAGAAACAGGGAACGTCTTGACAATGGAAAACTTGCTATAAATCATACAAACAGGCAATAACACATACATGGAGATATCTTACACACATATCTTAAATATATAAAATATTTGTGTATATATAGGTAGTTGGATAGATACACGTTCACGTAGTTTGTGTGTCATTTGCACACATTTATCATAGCGCCTCATTAGATAAAGCTATGCCCTGTTGGTGTCAGCCGGGGGGTGGGGGTCAGGCAAAAAGCACACCAAACTTAAGCCCCCGGCCTAGGTAGTGCTTTGCTTTGCTTTGCTTCTCCTTTTTTTTTTTTTTTTTTTTTTTGTCAACCTTATCAGCTAATGATTACAAAGCAAATATGTGAACCATGAGCCTGACCCATGGATGAGTGGTCGGTCGCCCATCAATTTGGGGGGCTTCAGTTCAATTCGAGCGGACACAACGAGTAGAAACAATATTTCTGAATGACACCTGCAACGCCATCAACGGCAGTGACTGCCCCAGTGGCGTCCACAACGACTGCCACAATCCAGAGCTCGATGAACAGCTCATATAACGGCAACAGCACATTTGCACCGTTTCCCAATGGCAACTCAGGAGACTATCCCTATTACTATCCACAGCCGGACTATGTGTATTTCTATTCGGGCTATGCGTTCTACATTGTGCTACTTGTTCTCTTTGTCATACTGACGCCATTGGCTTTTATAATGGTAACATATTGCTAAGATCTTATATCTATCTATAATCGATGAGCTAATTTAACTCTTCAAACAACCATGAAACTAGAGCTCCGCGCAGCGCAAGCGTCGGGAGAACGAACGCCGCCTGATCCTGCAGAGACAACGAGGTAATTCATTTTTGTTTGCATTTATCCCATTTTAATTTGTACTTCAATTCAAGTGCTATCCAAGCTAAAGCACCTGCTTGAGCGCCGCTAGAAATCCAAAGTTAATTAGCCCCAGATAGAGGTAGTAGATATTCAATTTGAATAGATCCCAACGTTCGCGTAGCCTCAACTGCCAGCGTTTCGCTGCCTCCGGTTGTTTTGCCAGCTGCTCCGCGTAGGAGGATTGCACGCAGCACTTGGACATCACCCAGAAGGCGGTCATGCGGTTCTGTGTGCGCAACGTTGACTCAATGCCACGTATCAAATCGTTTGTCTTCAGTATGAGCAACATTTGCCGATCCACCTGCTCGAGCACATCCGAAATGTGAGGCAACACCAGCGACGTGTTGCTCTGCAGTGTGTTCTTCTGCAAAACAGAAAGAGAAGCGGACCATATATAAGACAAATTAACACACGGAACTGGGGCCAATTGAGTAGTTTACCTCTTCTTTGGAGTATTTGACTTTGTTAATGCCCTGCATCAGGGTATCCCATGGTCGGCCCGTCACCATGCAAACAAACAGTCCATACAGATCTCCCTTGATGCCCAGCTGCTCGCTGTGCTTTCGCATGGATTTGCGATCGACATTCAAGATGCTCAGCCAAAGCTTTGAGTATTCATAGCGAAACTTATCGCTAAGGTTCGCATAGAGTCCATGATCCAGCAAAACGATTTCCAAATTGTTTTTGGGCGTCTGTCGTACGAGGATGTTGCCCGGATGCGGATCGCTGTGCACAAAGCCCGTGGAGAAGATCATCTCCGAGTAAAGTTGTCCGATTCTGTTGGCCACCGCAAAGGCATCAATATTATGTTTCTTAATGTAATCCAAGTCCGTGACATGTCCGCCCTCCAGATACTCCATGACTAGCACACGGGATGAGCTCAGCTCCCAATAGATTTTCGGCACACGCAGCCAGCTGTATTTCTTAAAGTGCTCGGCGACCTTTTCGGCATTTTTGCCCTCGTTCAGGAAGTCCAGCTCAATGGGCAGATTCTAAAATGAAAATTTTGGAAATCTTTGTAAATATCTCTGTAATCCCTCTTTAATGGACGCGTTACCTTCTTGGACTCCTCGACAAGCCATTGTATCTTAAAGTCGGGAAATATGAGCGCCAGCACTTTGACGGCCAGTTCCATGGTCTTCATGTCGACGCGCGAGTTGCCTTTGACATATGGATGCTGCACCTTAACAGCCACCACTTCACCTGTCTTCAGTCGCGCTTTATGCACCTGTGCCAATGATGCAGTGCCCAGCGGCTCACGCTCGAAGTCGTCGAAGAAATCTTCGGGATTACGTTTCAAGTCCTGCCGTATGACCTTATATAAATCCTCAATTGGATTCTGTGGCGCATCCGAATGCAGCACCTTCATGGTCTGTACAAACTCCTTGGGCAACAGATATTCCAATGCTCCAATATGTTGACCCACTTTGATATATACGCCCTTATTTGTGCAGATGAGTTCCAGTAGTTTCTCAGCGGCGATTTTATGCACGCGACTCTTCTCAGCCTTGTATTCGGGCGTGGTCTTGTCCCACTCCTTATAATATAGCTCCCGCTTGTAGGTGAGCGCCACATCGACCACAGCGCAGGCGGAACGCGTCAAGCGCACAATTCCTAGCGAATTAAGTTCATAGTCATTCGTATGGAGACTCAGGCCAGTGCTGACGAGGCCAGCGCCTAAAACGCTAAACCCAAGCACGCGTCGCAACATCTAAGACAGATTTGATGCACAGTTCAAGCTGAAAAGATGCAAACGAGTTTGTGTTAGTTTTCTCAGAATTTTCGTAGCTAGCACGAGCTCTGTTCAATGAACCGTTAAATCAACAGGTTGTCATTCCGTTTCAGTGTCAACTGCTCAACCCCAAAAGAAAAAGCTCAACTAAGATTCAAGAAAGCTCTTCCACTCTCAACTTAAATTATATTCTGGCCAGTCAACTTGAAGCTGCGCCCAATGAACTGTTATATCAACAGCTTGTTATTCCGTTTAAATTTCAAGCCTCTAATCCAAAGAACTAGTTCAGGCAAATTATAAACCTTTGGACTGCAGAGCAGTTCAAAACTCAAGCAATGTGCTTGAACTTTGCTAGGCTTTAAAGTGTTATTTCACCGCTCATGTTGATAAAATGTAGATCGCTGGGCCACTTCAAACACGTAACACGATATATTTGGCCCTTCGTTGTAAACTTTCACTCATCATTAAGCTGCCAACAAAAAATTGGCAACACACAAGAAAACACAAGAAAACATAATTTATCACCTTACACTTTGCTAATATAGATTTCCATAATTAATTTGCCAGAGACGTTTAACCCCAAAACCTGTTGCACCTGCGTTGAGTCACAATTTACATATTTTGCCCATCCAAAAACTTTCACCTTGTATTGGCTAAACAACGTCAGCAATTGTAATATTTGTTGTCTATTACATAAATGACTAATCGAAGTTTTGGGCCAAACTTCTTGGCCAGAGCGTTTCACTTACGATGCTTTAGCGCGCTCAAAAATCTCTTAGTTGCAATACATGTGATTGTTTAGTAGTGACTGTTGCTAAGACTTACACACAAATATTAGTAAAACACAAAAGAGAAGCAGCTTCAAATCTGTTGCTGCTTGCTCAGCTGCGCGCAACTGAAACGAACCGTCAGCTGTTCGAGCCGCGTATGCAGCGCACCAAAATAGAGAGTGATAAAAGCGCGATTGTGCTGTTATCGATAAGTGAGTACATGTCGATAAATCATAATTTGAATTTAATAGAAATTATAGATAAGATAAATCTAAGCATACAATTATGTATATGTAGCCACGCTCATAAATATTCAATATTTGTATATATTATTCAAATATTTATATATTAAATTTGCCAATTTATGACTGCAGCACGACGTGAAATGGAAATAAGCGTCACCAACAACAACAGTAACATGGGCAATGGCGGCGTTTGCCTTGAAGTGGACAACAACGACATGACCATATTGCCAAAGGGTATGGATCTACCGCCCAGCTACGACGAACTTAACATCTGTAACAAGGACGGTAACTTGGGTGCCTCCACTCTGACCATCACAACGGACTTGGGCTGCAGCAATCCGAATCTGATTGCAGCAGCAGCTTTAAATGAGCCACCGCCAGATTATCAGGGAACCATAGACATTGTCGAAGCTCCGACAACCGCCACAACTATATCTACAACAACAGTTGTTTCGGTTGCGCCTAGAATCTAAACATAAACGCAACATTTCAATTATATCTCTATATTCTTATAATATATAAATATATTTAACTTCAATACAAATTTCACTTCACTAAATTTAACGTTAAACAAAAAATTGGAAAAAGAATATGAACGCTAACAACGTAAAATTTCAGCCAAAGGTGGCCCAAATCTTCCATACGGATCCTTTGGTAATATCAGTATATTATCGCACCAGGAATATCCAATTACACGATTCTCAATGATCTTTTTAAATGCCGCATTCTCATTGATGAGATCCCGATAGTTATCATTGGAGACAACTGCTGCATTACGCTCATAAGCTAACTGAAGTATAAAGCTACAATAAAAAATTTTAAGGTATTAAAAATAAATATCTTATAAGTAACACCAATTTTAAGACTTACCGATCATCATAGCTGATGGCCTGTTGGTTGGGTAAATTTTTACAGGGTGTAAATACAATTTTGCCCTCTTTATACAGTTGATCGAGCAGGGCAGGATTCGATGATTTGTTACTATTTCGTCGAAACAATGGAATTACAGCCTTCACATCGTGCCCCATCTTCTCAAAGTACTCCACACAATATTTTATGCCCTCCGAAGAAAATATATTGGAGCGACCATGACTGTGAATGCAAATGGAATAGAAATAAGATCAGACTCAAGTAATGCACTAAAGAATAAATGCTCACCCAAAGGCCACATTGCTGCCGTCTATGATAATGGAACGTTTATGAGTTACTGGCGCATTCGACTCTACTCCTGGATTATATGTATTGCTATTATAATCGGCGAGTTTTTTGCGCTCCGTTGAGGTAAATAGGCCTTCGTTCATCCGCTGTGTGACCATCTTGGGTGTTTTAGGAGCTTTCGGTCCGTCTTCTGTCGACTTTGAATGACGCTTTCGCTGTGGACTAACACCATCACCAGCACCATCATCTTTACCACTCGACAGCGGTATAAAATCTTCTTGTACAAATATCACACTATCATCTAATAAATTCTGTGCAACAGGCTGTTTCTGTTCTACTTTCTTGGCCTCATCGCCGCCATCATCAATGATAATACACGACGTATTTTCCTTTAATAATGGACGCGCATTACTTTTGTTATATAATACGCTATTCTGGCTTGTGCCATTTACGAAACGTGCCCATAACTGATGTCTGCGTCTAGTATCTACCTTAAAGAAATTAACTACGGTATTTTTATCCTCTGCTTTGGCGGCAACTGGCTCCTTCGATGACTCATCGTCCGGCTCGTCATCTGTGTCTATAGTGATTTTAGTCATATGCGGTTCCAGGACAATGCAGTCATCGTCATCGCTGCTCTCAATCTCTTCGATTATCTCGCCCTCTTTTACTTCGGATTTTTGTTGTCCGGTGGGATAAAACGTGGGCTTAGGCAGTGAATTTTGCTGCGGCTGTTGTTTCTGTTGCTGCTGCTTTGTGACTTGCTGTAGTTGTACATTTCCTTTATTTGTGGGTGTAGCTGATGCATTTTTGCTTTGTGAGTTAACTGCTCGACGTTTAATGGAATTGACAAGCTTTACTGAATAGCTTTTATTCGAATTTGATTTTGGAGATTTCTTCTTCTGCAAGCGCTTAAGCTTCTTCTAAAAAAACTGAGATTAAAGTATACAACAACGTAAACATATAAATTCATATCTTACTTTTACCAAACTATCCTTAAACTTTTGGAATTGCGACGTCATTGTTGTAGAAGCATCGGTGTTTAATTGTAGCTGGTGTGGGGTGAGAAATATGTGTATGTTTACATACATATGATGTATGTACGTACATAAGTAAATTTATTAAAATTTGTATTTAAAATGTTGACATATTGAAATTTATTTCTCGTACTTACTGCGCTCACTATTCGAGTTGACTTTAAGGTGCTTTTTGAATAAAACTACAATTTGATCGGTTTTTCGATTATATGTATATACATCGAGCATTATTATTGAATCGCATGAATAGCTTACGTATGGCAATATCAGTTTACATTTATTTTGATTAAAATACCACTATGGTTAGACACTTAACAGAGGAGCTTGTTGTTCAGAGTGTTGTTAACTAAAAATATGATTGGCGCATCGCTTGTAAATTCAGCTAGCTAAGATCGTACATATCACTCGAATGATACACTATAGATAGATTGACTTCTTCTATGTCCGTTATTCTTTATCAATTGAATTTAAAAGAAAATCGATTTTTTGATTTCTTGACAACATTTAGTTATATAAAAAGGCAACACACACATATTTGTAGACAAAAGCAGCATATTGTATACTGTTGACTGGGCATTCTCGATCCCAAATCCTTTACTAACTACATTCCGACTGAAACTCTTACTTCTGCTTTAGCTCACGTATCTCATTCCGTATATTGGCACGTGCCAGCTCCTCGTATTTCTCGTGGTATTCGGCTGTCGCATAAATACTTGGTATTAGCAACAATGTCTCCAAGACTTTGACACGCATCATTTTATAGCTCTCGTCATCCAGATTGGCGTACTCGTGACGTAAAAGTTGGGTATAGTGTTTATATTCATCCGGCGGAGCACTGGACGTGACAGAGGAACAGCATTTAGACTCATCCTAACAAATGAGCTAGTCGGGAGTGCTCGACTAGGTTTGTACCCCTGTATCCAGGAAAGCTTTTTACTAATGAAAATTATTTATTCCTAATAATACAATGAAATCACTCAATTTTTATTTTCCTGGCTGCGACTATAAGTGTATCGTCAATATGTTTAAGAGATTGGATAGGCTCTTATTGTCATTTATTAAGTAGACAAAGACAAGAGTTTTCGACAGACAAACAGACCTGCTACATATGTATGTTGAGCCGTAGTAACAAAGATTTCCAAAAGTACTCTAACCTCTTCACTACATTTGGATACAGGGCATATTCAATGCTCTTATATTTTATACATACGCCAACACAACCAAATCGACATCCTGCAACAAATTGGCTTCCTCATCATGTGACCAGGTGACCTCATTATCAGGTGTCTTGCGACCCAGCAGATTGCAGACAAGCGATTTGGCTTGCTCCTGCATTACATCATTTCAAAACATTCATATATTGATATATGTTCATCTGCATCTTATATAGCTACTCACATCCTCAATCATGGCATCGCGACAAAATTCCTCAAAGACTTCGCAATTCTGCTGCACACAGCTCCGATTGCCATCGAAATGATAGTATTGAAAGAAGGCAGCCAAAGCAATACTCGGAGCACAGTCCGACAGATGCTCGTGCTTGCGCTGCATCATCTCCTGCCAGTTGTGGTAGGCGCGAGTGGGACTGTCCTCGCTGAGATGCTGTTCGATGCGTGCAAACCAGGCATTGGTCACATCCTCTGGCACATCGTAGTGGGCACAGATATTACGCCAGATTTGCTCCATTTCGTTTAGTTAACTTTTATAATTGTAGTTATTTAGGTGGTTTCAGTTACTTTTTGGCCACTTTATTTTCACAATTTTAGCACTTATTCAATTTGGTAGAAATTTTTGTTCTGGAACTCGCGCTGAGTTTTTCGCAAAAATTCCTTCTCTTTTTTGGTTGGTGTTTGGGGGACTGACGCCTGCGCAATGCGATTTGCGTCAACCGCGTCGGCAGCCCCCTTTAAATCAATCACAACGAACCCCCGATAATCCCGACACGCTAACTAATGCATAACTAATAATAATGAAGTAATTGCAATTCAATACTCACCTCCATTTCCAGCGTTGTCCTGGAGCAAGAGGGTTCTGAAAGCGCTTTATTTTCAACTGTTGTCGGGCACGTGTTTGTTTCTTCTGCAACCTCACCGAGTAAGGCTTTGCGGCCTTTGCGCGGCGATTGCTGCTTGTTCTTCTTATAACGGTGCTTATGTATTCTTCCTCGTTTTTTGCCGCCACCTTTGTTTTTTTTACCCATTATAAAAAACTCCGATAAATGTTTTTTGAAATGCAAAACATGTAGTGTACGAAACAGAATGCGGAAAGCAACAGCTGATTGGCGTTGCCACCATATAAAAATCATGCAATATTAACCAATTAATGTAGCCTGGTATTTTTTTTTTTTTTTTTTTTTTTTTTCTTAAGATTATTTTTAATTGCAATATTACCCATAAGTAAAAAAGAAATTTGCAAATCATTAGATGTACAAATTAACATATTTTATATTGGCAAAGAGAATACAAATTTCAATTACATGGCCGTGGCACTTTGATCATGCAATGTTGGCAACCCTGGTAATGTGAAATGTCAAACGTACTTGTGAAAGTAATCATTCCCAAACCTGAATTTTACTGTATAATTTCAAATAGTTTGTTAGTTTCTAAAATTGTTGGGTCGTTTCAGTGCGCAAACCGTTTGAAAGTTTAGCACTTACAAAACAGTTAACGCCACTGACTGTTTATCCACAATTAGTACCAAATTGCACTACATTTAGAGTGAGTATCGATGGTTGTGACCAAATTTGTTGGTTGGGTTATTTGCCCTTTGTTCCATGTTTCCATGTTTCAATGTTATACGTTTGAATCCGTCAGCTTAATATGGACATCGAAAAATCTAGCAGCAGTTCCTTTGAAGACCTAACCAATGCCGATGACACCAACGATATTCGTGGAGCCCATGTGAATGAATCGGAAACATCCGAAGCCGACTCGGCAGCCGTGCAAAGTAGTAGCAATAGCGAGGATAATCCAAAACAGGAAGAAGATATAGAAGATGAAATCGAATGCGATATTTTGGGAAATAAGCAGCTAATCAAGCGGATTATCAAAAAGGCACCCGCCAATGCCAAGCGGCCCAATCGCGGTGATCTGGTAACGATAACATACACTGGAAAGCTGGAAGATGGCACTGTTGTGGAAAAAGAAGAGCGCTTCCAATGTCATGTAGGCGATTTCGAGGTGGTCCAGGGCTTGGACATGGTGCTGCCAATGATGCATGTTGGCGAAGTGGCACAAGTTAGTATCGATCAACGCTTCGGCTACGGCACCATCGGTCTTAAAACTGAAAATCCACCCGAAACTGTTATACCACCCAACGCTAATGTAAGTGCAACGATCCGTTAAAGATAAGGAGAAGACATAAATCTATTTATAATTCCAGCTGATTTACGAATTGGAACTGGTTGATGTTAAATACGAAGACTTTGCAGATTTGAAATCTTTTGATGTGCTGCGTAAATATGGGTAATATATAATAGATAATAATTTAAAAATTCATAATAATCACTTCCATTTATATTTTGTAAATGCAGTGCGAGGAAAAAAGAGCGCGCTAATTACTTTTACAAACGTGTGGAATACAATAACGCAATACATCTGTATAGACGTGCGCTTGACTATTTGGATAATCGCGATGGTGATCCCGATGCGGAATTCGGCAAGGAAGATATTGAGGTAATTACTGATGATTAATGTATAATGTAACAATATAATCATATATTTATCAAATTGATTGTAAAGCTATCGAACAGTGATCTGCAAAGCCTGCTAGAAGATCGTCTGATTGTGTACAATAATTTGGCAATGGCTCAAATCAAAATTGGCGCCTACGATGCTGCATTGCAGTCTGTGGAGCATGTTCTGCGTTGCCAGCCCAATAATCCCAAGGCCCTGTATCGGAAGGGCAGGGTGAGTTGAATAACGCTTATTGTGTACGTGGCACTTAACACAGCTTTATCTCCCAATTGCCTCGTTATCAGGTGCTCGAGGGCAAGAATGATACGCAGGGGGCAATCAAGCTGTTGCAGAAGGTTGCGACATTGGAGCCGGAAAATCGATCGGTACAGTCAGATTTGGCTAGACTCTTTATTAAAGCGCGCCGAGATGAGCACAACGAAAAAGAAATGTACCAGAAAATGTTAGGTCAGGCCAAGAAAATGGAGCAAAAAACAAACGTTCGGCAGAAAACACCCTTGGTAGATAATTCAAAAGTAAGCTGAAAAATGGCATTCCCGTTTTTTTTTTTTTTCCTTTTTTCAATGTTCTATTTTATTTTCTAATCTTTGCTTTTCTCTTCCAGTTGAAACTAATTGGATTTCTGATGGGCACCATTTTAATAGGCGTAGCGGGCGTAGCTATTTACCGCTACAAGTACTGAACAGGATAAAAGAGAACATAAACTATATTTCGCAAGTCGGTACTTTAAGCAATTTCTAATGCATTTTGAAGAGGATCTATCTATATATCTATATCAAAATTATCAACGTTGGAAAATGGTTGCTTATAAAGATACCCCTTTTTATATGCACAGAGAAGGATTACCAAGCACACTTTAAAAAGTAACAATAAGTCAAAGAGCTACGGTTTTTGGATATCGTATGTTAGATTAAATTCAACAATTTATTGCAAATATATATATAAATATATATGATTACAAAAGCCTTTTGAGAACAAACGGATGTATCAGATTTAATCAAAAATTATAAAATTTATCAAGTATTTACAACAATAAACGAACAAATTCAGTTACTGAATGTAAAATGCTATTCAGCCCTGGTAAAACGGCGACTGGTATTTCAGGTCAAATTTAGTACATTTTGTTTGCTGAATCATTTTCACTGCTGCATCGCGAATATTTAGTTAACTGCAACACAAACGATTCCAAACCAATCAGTCGAGAGCGAATTTTCCAACTTAAAACATTTAAATTACTTGCAGTAGTCATGCAGAAGACACTGCTACTAATTGCTGCTTGCCTGGCCCTAGCCTGGGCCGCAGAGCCACAACTCTTGCGAGTGCCGTTAACAAAATTCCAATCTGTACGCCGGCATTTTGCCGATGTCGGCACCGAGCTGCATCAATTGCGCATTAAATATGGCGCCGGTGATTCACCCGAACCACTCTCTAATTACCTGGATGCCCAATACTACGGCCCCATATCGATTGGCACACCACCCCAGAATTTTAAGGTTGTCTTCGATACGGGCTCCTCTAATCTTTGGGTGCCATCCAAAAAATGTCACCTGACCAACATTGCTTGCCTGATGCACAACAAATACGATGCCAGCAAGTCATCGACATACAACAAAAATGGCACTTCATTCGATATACACTATGGCTCGGGCAGTCTCTCGGGTTACCTATCCAGCGATACAGTCAACATTGCCGGCTTGGACATCAAGGGCCAAACATTCGCCGAGGCATTGAGTGAACCCGGATTGGTCTTTGTCGCTGCCAAATTCGACGGTATCCTTGGATTGGGCTACAGTTCGATATCGGTGGATGGTGTTAAGCCACCATTCTACAATATGTTCGAGCAGAGTTTGATCGCACAGCCGGTGTTTTCGTTCTATTTGAATCGTGATCCCAAGGCACCCGAAGGAGGTGAAATCATTTTCGGTGGCTCCGATCCCAATCATTATACTGGCGACTTCACCTATTTGCCTGTTACACGCAAGGGCTACTGGCAAATCAAAATGGATTCGGCTCAAATAAACAATGTGGAGCTGTGCAAAGGTGGCTGCCAGGTGATTGCTGATACGGGCACCTCGCTAATTGCCGCACCTGCTGCCGAGGCTACATCGATCAATCAGGCTATTGGTGGCACCCCCATTGTGGGTGGACAGGTGAGAATGCTGTTTACGGTTAACATTTTATATGTGTTTGTAGAGAGGTATTGAATTTCATATTTGTTTACTCTTCCAGTACGTCGTCTCCTGTGACATGATACCCAATTTGCCGGTCATTAAATTCGTGCTGGGCGGCAAGACCTTTGAGCTGGAGGGCAAGGATTACATTTTGCGCATTGCCCAAATGGGCAAAACTATTTGCCTGTCCGGCTTCATGGGCATGGATATACCACCACCAAATGGTCCTCTCTGGATTCTGGGCGATGTCTTCATTGGCAAATACTACACTGAGTTCGATATGGGCAACGATCGTGTTGGCTTTGCCGATGCCAAGTAGAGCTGTCTCTGAAATCATTTTTTCCTATTCAATTATATATACGAACGTCCTAATGCAAAAGGCAGCAAAAAATTATTCATGTAGTTCGAAAGACTCTTCTTGCAATTCGAGAAACAAATTAAATATCATAATTATATATAGTTCAAAAATATGTAAAAAAAAAAAAAAAACAAAAAATATGCCTTTTTCTTCGTTGTGTCTGAGTTTTGTTATTGTTAGTCATGGACCTTTGCTTATCAAGTGGCAAATTATTTTTGTTTTTTAATACTCTTTGATAATTCTGTATATAGTCAACAGCTTTGTTTATTTATTATATACATATATGTACATATATTTACTTTCCAATGCATATTCAACGGAAAGAGAGCGAATCGCTGTTTGTGCTCGTATTGGATGGCGAGCAGTCATAAATTAAACAGATCTGATATGGGCATATATACATATATATGGTTTAAAACACTTGATTACTTCAATCATTTATTATATACATACATGCACATAAATTTGTTTATATGCCGAGCGCTTATTACAATGAGCATCGTTGATAGAACAAAGCCTGGAAAATAAATTGCTAAACAAATGTGTATGTACATGTATATATAATATAATATAATTAACACTATGCAACAAGGCACTTAAACTTAGTTTCTATAAAGTTTGATTAAAATTTGTGACATCTAGATCAATTTGTGAAAATTGAATAGAGAGGTTATTTGGTAAGCAGAGAGAGCTTATATGAGAGAGTGAGAGCTAGAAAGTTGATATGTGAGAGAGAGAGTGAAAGTGCTTATTCAAGATAATGAGCTCTTTTGTTGGGAGGTGAGAGTGAGAGAGAGAGAGCTGTTGTTTAAGATAACGAGCTTTTATATTTGGGACAGTTAACATAAGCAAAGAGAGCGAATTAACATACATAAAAGAGAAAACGGATTTGTGAGAAAGCTCTTATAGACGAAAATAAATAAATAAGATCAGACTACGAGCTATTACACAATTGAGTAAACTGTAGTATGAGAGTGAACTGTTAAATAAGAGGGCAAACTGTTATACATTAAGGTAAATCGTTATATAACAGAATGAACAAAGGAGTAAACAATTTGTAAGGGAGAACACATGAGAAAATAGAAGGGAGAGTAATTACGAAAATCAGGAATTAAATACAGATAATGAGAGCTTCATTTGGCTCTAATTAAATAAAAATGGGTTAGCAACAAACCCAGCTTCTCATCAGTTGCTCAGTGAATAAAATTTGAATGAATTAGTTTTGCCTATGAAATAATCACATTAAGTACATTCGCATATTTGCTTGTAGATTGCAATGCTTGATTAATTGAGATGAGCTAAGCTAAAAGTTAAATCAATTTTTTTTTTCTAGGCCCCTTGGGTTGGGTCGATGACTGACGCAGACCCACACGTGTGAGCTGAACCTACGTCAAATGGCTGATAGGAAATGGATTCGTAGGCAAAAGCGAGCTTTTAGGCGCACTCCTAATATAAGGAATATATAACAAATGATTTATCACAAAATTATTGAATAGAACAATTCTTGAACTTTGTACAGAATATTATAGCACGCGTAATTAATCAGATGCGAGCACTGAATCACGCATCAACGTTGGCTTGAGGCACAAGGGAAAGAAATGATTGGGCGATTGGACTTGGGCGACAATGGAGAATAACAAACTAAACGAGCGACTAAGATAAGACAACATTTAATACTACGAAAAACAAGCTAATAATAAAGTTAAAAAAAATAATAATAATAATTGTAATAATAGACACATTGTTGGTGGAGCAACATTTATAATAATTTAAAGGCCGGCAAGAATATTCATTGCGCATTCTCTCATTTTCGTTTCACATCGGCCAAATCAACATCTGGATTCGTTGACTGTTCGCCTTTGGTGGCCTTTGTCTTAGCTGTTGCTTTCGTTGCTTGTGCTGATGTTGCCGCGACTGGTGTTGCTCCTGCCACTGCATCCTTTGTGGTTGTGGATGTTACATCCTGGGCAGCATCCGCCTCGGGCTTGATCTCCACAGTTGCCGCAGCTGTATTCAGATTGGGCACATCGTGCTCCTCATCCGATTCAGTTGGGCCGTGGATCATCTGCATTGCTGCTGCCACCGGCTGCGGCAACTGTTGCAGCTGTCGTTCACCTTTGTTGACTTTGTATATATCACAGGTCTCGTTGACGTAGCGATTGAATACGTCCGGCTTATCTGCATACACGTGATGCCCGGCACCGGTCACGATCTTAATGTCCACCATATTTGTGCCCCTTTGTGATTTGATTTTCTCACCGGATGCGGAATCGATCCAGCTGCGTGAGCCATAGATGAATGTGATGGGTATATCGCTGCGTACATCCTTGATCCGGTGGATCATTGGATGCTTGGCCCAGCCAAATGACTGCATCATGCTGTGGAATGCCGATTCGCCGCTCGGCCGCTGGGCATTGCACTGATGTATATACTGGGGCAGCAGATTGATGTCCTCCTCGATAGTGCTCTGGAACTTGCGCATAATATCCGGCCGTGTCTTCTGCACCACCCACTGGCCGAACGGGCCGGCAGCTCGCAACGCCCACAGCGGATTCAGTGGTGTCAGAACGCGTGCAATTGCACGCAACCACAGTGGAATCTGTTTGGTATTCGTCGATTCGGCGGGTTTCTCGGGAAATCCCCAAGGATCGGCCAGTATCAGATGTCGAACACGCTCCGGATAGCTCAGGGCATAGCTGGACGCAATGAAACCGCCCATGGAGTGACCCAGCAATATCATATCGGTAATATTCATTTCGCGACGCCATTCCTCAACAGATTTAACAAATTGCTTCTCGCAGATCAAGGCATCCTTAGCAAACATTGGCCTGGAGCTGCGCCCAAAGCCCAGTACATCCATAGCATAGACGGGACGATCCTTGGCAAAGGCATCCAAATTCATAACCCACAAGGCAACACCAGCGCCGAGGCCGTGCAGCAACACAAGCGGCACCTCCTTCGACTCTGTATTCATGCTCACCGTCCAGATCTTGTCCGCATCGCCCACAGCCGGACCTATGTCCACAAAGAAGCCACGGTAGGGCAGCTTCAGATATGATAATATCTTCTTTTCTACGGCCCGCAGCATGGTTGGCGATGATGCTGTCCAGTTATGCCACCATTGCCAAAGGCTGAAGCCGTTAGTTTTCGAAACCTAGAATGTAATTTTTCATAAAAATTAAGTACGAGAATTTGACTACACAGAAAACATAACTATAACTATCTAATTTGTCAAATTGTTTCTCTACACAAATGTAAAAGGGAATTTTGTTGTGAAAAATGCAGCTTTTGTTTTTGTTTTTTCTTGTGTATGATTAGAAAAATGTTTGATATTAGACATAAGCAAATATACACATAACATGTCTTGATAAAGACAAGACATACATTCTATAGCAAAGCAACAGCAAGAGTTTATAGCTGCTTTTGTATATTATTGTAGTGCACTCTTATACTATTATATTCTATAATTATTGTTATACTTGACAGCTGACGAAAATGGAGTATTGTTATACTCTGATTTACAGGCGCAGCAGCAATTGTTCACACACACACACACGTATGCAGCTATCCGTATATGTTTATATAAATACGTCACAGCTGCTATGGCATACGCGGAAGTGCCGCCAAATGGGCGTGGATTACCTAACGGACACAATGATCGCGCCCACAGAAACTGCGCATTTAATTATGTACATACATATGCATTGATGTATGTTAGAATGTATAAGCAAGTTTGTATATATGCACACACATGTCTATATCATATTTCTAAGCATTCAAAGCTAATCGTTTGACCTTTGTGGCTTTAATTGTGTCAAAGTCATTCAAAATCCTTTTTCGTTCTCGTTTCGCTTACCTCAACGTCCATTGACCGAGCCTCTAGCGGAGCATCTGCAGGGCCTTCGGCTTGGTTTGGCAATGACAGTGTGCCACTCATTTGAGTATATTTTCTTAAATTTTTCTCTCGTAGTATTTTCTCTCAGATGCTTTGTAGTTGTTGTTAATTTTGAATGTTTGCCAGAAGAGCGACAATAATTAATACTAGCAAATGACTGCGACGTTGCAACATTTGCGCGAATTTTGTTAATATTGCATAGGCCAAGTTAACCCTTTTTGTTGGTCAGAAAACGACTTGATTAGTGTCGAGTTGTGATGACAATGAATTTTTGTTCTAAGCTAGCTAGCTGATAGTATGTGGTATTCTGTATGGATGTGTTTGTGTGTGCGGCCGCCACTTTAGTGTAATTTCTATCTAATGGTGAAATTGTATATTGTTGTCATTTATTTATATGAGCTCACCAAAAATTCGACTGGAGCAACAGCTGTTCGGCATACCGCAGCCCTGACATATGTTCGTTGCTTGGTATTAAACTTGCCAAGCAAATTGCTGCGGAATTTGAGAAAAATACCAACACAGTTCAACAGCGGAACTAGTTTAAATTAACTGAATACACAATATCACTGATATATCAGATTCATTAATTTCTCCTGCCAACAATAACATCTGTAATTTCAACCCCTTATTAATATTGTATTAGTTCCTCTTACACCTAACGATATTGATTGCTTTAATTAACAAGTTCAAATATTTATTAATCCTGCTCTTTAGCATTTTCAGTAGTTACTAGATAGTATATTTTAATAGTACTAAATGTCAAAATAAAAAGAAAATATACCAGCCATGTGGATTTGCCGGTCAGAGGCAGTGCCTTTACAACGTTCTCGCAGACGATATGGATGGAATTAACAAATACAATGAATTTGTGGCTCTGCACAAACCACAACTAGAATCTGCTGCAATTCCTGTGCATTTCTGGCCAGCACTTTATCGCAAGCTTTGCGCGGATATCTTTGATGCTGGCGAAGCGCTGCAGTTAATGCTCATCGACTACGATGAGGTTGATGAAGAGGAGGACGATGACGACAATTCAAAACCAGCATTTGCTTTGGAGGTAGCACGCGAACAGGGCATCAAGGCAAACGATCCCACGGCTATATATCTAATAGATCATGCCTGGACATTTCGCTGGAGTACCGCACGCCAGCAATTGGAGAGCTATCCACAGCTGACGGATAGATTGTGCGCCATCACGGGCGTTGATCTGGAGCATGAGCAACGCATCGATAAGGTAATGAGACGTGTATGGAGATACTGTCATGCCTACACCATTGCCAGCGAAGGATTGACCGACGAGCAACGTCTGCCCATATGGTATGTGATGGATGAAGTCGGTTCAGCGGTCAATCATTCGGACGAGCCTAACTTTCGTCTAGTGCCACTGCTGTACCTCACTAATCACATCACCTACAGCTTACTGTTTCCCATACGGGATTCGGTTCAGGGCACTCCAGTGACTCGAGACTTTGCCGAATATGTGGCCAAGGATGCGCCACAGCGCCCCGCCTTGCTGCTGCCCTGGCGGGAGACTGATTTGAGCGGGGAAAGTTTCCTGCAGGTAGAGCCAAGTGCTGATTACTTTACCAGTGGCCACATACCCGAATCGTATCCACACGAGGATGAGACCTTGCCAACACCTACTCCACCTGCTCGCTGTGATCCCCTAAAGGTCTACGCTCAATATGATGTGCTACGCGAGCATCTAACAGCGTCTGAATTTGAGGTAGTCGACAGCCAGGAGGAGGCGGATGTGCTCTGGCTCACCACTCACTATAAAAATTTCGCCGAATTCGCTAGGGATACGCCGCACAAGTTCGTAAACCAGTTTCCTTTTGAGTATGTCATAACCATCAAGGATCTGCTGGCTATTGTGGGACGTCGTGCCGCTCAAGAACATCATAATGCGGCTACATTGGAGACTTATCCGGCCTGGCTGCCTACCACGTACAATTTATCCACCGAGCTGAAGGAATTCGTGGCTTATTTTCAGAGTAGAGCAGCAAAGCGTTTGGATAACCACTGGATTATCAAGCCCTGGAATCTGGCACGTGGTCTCGATACCCTCATCACGAATAACATTAAGCAAATTGTGCGTTTGCCTATAACCGGACCAAAGATAGCCCAAAAGTACATAGAGCGGCCCGTGCTGTTCAAGCGTAAGGAAATCGATGCCTTGGTCAAATTCGATGTGCGCTACGTGGTGCTGCTGAAGCGTGTGAAGCCCCTAGAGGCTTACGTGCATCGCAAGTTCTTTTTACGCTTTGCCAATCACGCCTTCTCCTTGGACAACTTTGACGACTACGAGAAGCACTATACGGTAATGAATTACCAGGAGGATGCACAGCTGCATCACATAGAATGTGATGATTTCTTGAGCATGTGGCAAGAGCAATATCCTCAGCACGACTGGGCCGCTCTGGAGGATCTCATCTGTGAGATGCTGCACGAGGTGTTGCAGTGCGCTAGCCAGGAGCCACCACCTTGTGGCATAGCGCCCTGTGCCCAATCGCGAGCACTATATGCTGCCGATATAATGCTGGCATGGCCGAGCCGGGAGGAGACGGAGACGCAGATGGACATGCAGCCAAAGCTGTTGGAGATCAATTGGACACCCGATTGCAAGCGAGCTTGCGATTACTATCCCGATTTCTTCAATGACATCTTCAAACTGCTATTCCTCGACGAGCAGAACGACAAAACCTTCCGCTTGCTAACACCAAAGGATCAAAACATATAAATATGTATATATATAAAGAAGTATTCAATATGTTAACTTTAGTAATTCATATAAAGTGCACAAAAAACATAATCAGAAACGATTTCAAACAAAATTTCACAAACATTTCTCATACTTCACAAGAAAAGTTTAAAGTTATGCTAGAGCCATACAAATTTGTTTTGGATAATAAACTCTCCGTTATAAATTGAAAATCATATAAATTTGTATTATTTCACCAAATTCTGTTTAGGAAATCTCTCAATTAACTAAAGTACATTTGTTTTCCTTTCACTTCACTTGACAAATTATGAGATTTGTTTTTTTTTTTTTTTTTTTTTTTTTTGCTTAACAATTAGGTTGTATTTTATTTGTTGATAGTACATATCTTAAAAGTCATTTGTAAACTACATATACAACTTAAATAGCGCTCATTTGTACAGTATACGAAGTATTGTATATAGATAAATATATATGTATATATATCTATGTGTATATATATCTTCTATATGTAGTTGGGAACTATTCACTTAACTAGGTGCGCAATATGTTTCATGTGTAAGAGTGTTTGATTGTTTTTTTTTTTTCTTTTTTTTGTGTATGTGTCTCCAATTGCTTACATTCTCAATAACTCTATCATAGCTTGATAAGAAAAAGAAACAATATAGCTGCTTAGATAGCTGTTTACGTTCAGTGTTCAGTGTGTTCATAGGTGTATGACGTAAAAAGTGAGCTTATTTATAAATATGAATATATATATAAAATGTTTTCGCGTTTTGCTATTTACCAATTCTTAATTGTAATGGCACTTTAAATGAAAATGATTTAAGTTTTAAGTATAAATGTAGGCAATTTGCATAACTTATAAAGTTGATACTTCTAGTCAAGTTAGTTCTTCCACTTTTTACATTTAAGGCAATTTGCAAGGCACAAAATTAAATATCGATTCATGAAGCTACAGACTAACGAAAAAGAGTACAATGAAAAATAAAACTTCAATATATAATGTAGAGATGAGTGAAACTTAGCCTGCTAGCAAAATTAACTCAACTAATGTCGCTTACGGTTAATTAAGAGCTAAAACTTAACTGTCTAAACATTAAACCAACTACTAAACGCACACTTCATCAAAGTCTAAACGTATCTTCTCATCAACGGAAGCTAATTTATGTATAGTCTTTTTAATGCGCAACGCTGGCAGGCGAACATTCGGATTCTGGTGCCAGCATTCCTTCATTAGCTTGGACATGCCAGCCAGAAGCTGTAGATGAGAAACATAATTAGTATATGATAACATAATCTATATAGTGTTTTATGCTCACAGAATCTGAGCTCCAGCGATTGGGTATGGACGGCCTATAGTTGTCAATGCAAACAACTTTGCGCATATCCTCAAAGCTGGGATCCATGGGCACCACATCATAGTAGGGCACCTTATACTCTTCGGCAATGCCACACGAAATGGTGCGGCGACACACCTCCCACAGAACCAAGCCAAAGGCGTAAATATCAGTGCGACGCAGTGCTTCAAAGCATTCCATGTCGATGCTAAAGAGTTCAGATGTAACGAAATGAGTTGAGCTATTCAATGGTCAAGAGTTAATTAAAGTCTGCATACCTCTCATCCAGTACTTCAGGTGCCATATAACGTTTAGTGCCCACTTTTGGATTATTTCCCAAATCCAACTGACCCGTAACATGCGAGTGCGTAACAGCTAGACCAAAATCAGCTATGACACAGGTGCCGTTAGCCGTGACCAATATGTTCTTCGATTTCAAGTCGCGATGTGCCATGGCAGGCTTGCCCTCAGTGCCAAAGATTTCAGTGTGCAAATGCACGAGTCCATTCGCAATCGATAAGCAAATCCAAATCATGTCGTTGTGGCTAAGTGCATTGCGGTTCAGGTGATCGAAGAGAGAGCCTTGCGGATAGTAGTGGGTCATAAGCCAGAGCTGAGTGCAGGAGTTGCGAGAGGTCATGTCGGAGCCGATGAAGCCTAGTATATTCTCGTGGCGCAGTAAAACGGTGCTAAAAGAGTTCAGATTAGTAAATATGAGCTCAGAGTAATTTAAAGTGTTAACCAACCTGTAGATTTCGGTTTCACGCTTCCACGACTCCTCGTCACGGCTGAAAAATATTTTGACAGCAATGCTTTCGCCGTGCCAGTGGCCACGCCACACCTCGCCGTACTTGCCGCGGCCAATGCACTCAATCAGTGTCACCTGTTTCGCCAGTGTGCGCTGCACCAGCAATGGCAGCCCTGAACCGGAACCGGAAGTAACCGAATGCTGTAGATATTCACGCAGAGTACTATCCCCTGCGCTTGTGGCGCGCAACAATTCATCATTCACCAAATACGATTCGGGATCCTGTTTAATGCGCGTTGCCGCCAGTCGCTTGCGATGGCTGCGACGCATAAAGTACACCGCCATAGCGCCCATCAGTGTGATGATTAGAAATGGTCCCAAAATTGCAGCGATCATTTTGCTCAAGTTGCTGCTGTCGGCTGTGATCACCACATCGCCGCTGACGAACGGCGGCAGTTCGGGGAATTCGCCATCATTGCAAAAATCGCTTGCACAGCAAACGATATTTATGAACTTTGCTGTGTTGCGTTTTGAGGGGCCGTTGAACTTATTCAATGCATTCTGATTGCAAATTAACGGCAGCTGATCTTGGGATTTGGTGCAGCCACGCGACACCAGCTCCTGGCCGACGGCATCACGTGTACGCGATTTCCAGCACTGCAATCGAGAAGCAGGAAATGATTAATCAGGCAGATTAGACAACAGACTCTCTATCTACTGCTCACCTGTATGGCATTCTGGCATGTATGGGCGTGTTGATTCGGATCGAGACAGGGTGGTTCACACGCATAACATTTTAATCTGTGCATGCAAAAAATATAAGATTAGCAAATTATTCAAAGCATATAAAATATGTGTGTGTGCGTGAGGAGAGCTTTATTAAACAGGCGGGCAAATGCGTTTTACCTTCGTTTCATGCGTCGCTTACTCTTAACATGTCTTCTATTAAGGAGTGCAGCGTGTAAATAGATTGGGTAGGACGTAAATATTAGGGTCTTGGGATATTAGGATATAGCAATAGATGATGATTGCACTGGTTTAGCTATTAATTGAAGTGATTGGCAGATGCATTTAATTCTACTCAATTGACTTACCTCGGATGCGTTAATAAAGAGTTTTGCGGTATCGCTGGAAACTCTTTGCCGTTAATGTGCGGCGGCAATTCCATATCCATATCCTGTTGCTCATCTAACAACAGTCCACTTATTTCCGCTGCAAGAACAACAAAAACAGCACTTCAAATGAGTCTCACAAATACACCCAAAAGGCTAGAAATACTCAATGCGCGCACACACATACGCAAATACATTTCTCTATACACAAATCTGAAGCAAGCATATATATGTGTTAGTGAGTTTGTGTTCGCATGTGTGTGTGTAGATTATAAATGCACTTTTATGCTATGCTCGCCCACATTAGAGTTCTTATGTGTTTATATAATACATATTTTTACAATTGTATATTATTTTCATGTTCTTTGATGCACTTCGTGACAATTTTGTATCAGACTTGTCTTTATTCGCGGCGCAATTGGTCAGAACAGTAGCATATGAAAACAAATTGTCGTGCAACACACACACACGCACATGCACACACAAACAAGCAGCGCGTAGGCATCATTTTTATAGACAATATGCTGCTTTTTTACCGACACAGTAGTGTTTATGTGAAAACGTTTGTATTGTACATCAACTAAGTGATAATTAAACACACATTTTAACACACCTTTTGCATTTTTATATAAAAAAAACGACAACAGAAAAACCAAAAATAAATTTGACTCCATTGCCATTGTTTTTTTCCCAACACTAACAGCCGTACGTTAGCCAACACCAACAGGTATACATTGCTGACTGTGGTCACCCGAAAAACCCTATTTCTATTTACATTTGCTTATTGTGTTAACAGCAGTAATTTTGGGTGCCCATACTTAAAACTGTAAGAATAATACCAAATGTTGTTAGAGTTTACTATTTAAACCACTCGTCGTTAAGTTGTTTAGGTCACACTGAGCCGGTCCTCAGCTTGCTTCGCCTGGAAAAAATTGATCAGCTGAAAAGTTTCTAGAATATCTGAACAAAACGTCAAAGACAATATCCCAGTAATTTTAACAGAAAAAAATTAAAATAAATAAAAGTTAATAAATATTTAAGTACATACACGTATGTATTTACATATATATATTTTTTAGGTAAGTTTGGACTTGTGTATCTCTCTGCTTATATGTATGCGTGTGGTTGCTGGAACAAAATGCATCAATACGCTAGTTCTACTATTTTGCTTTAATAAATTGTGATTGCGGTAAATGCTGCCCAGTGGTCATTGACTTTCCTTCCTACGTTCAAGTTCATTCGTATTGTCAACTTCATCTTACAATGGCAACGGCGCCTGTGCAATTCTCTTTACAAATCCTGTTCGGAGGGCGTGTGATTGGTTTACGTCTGCTTGGTTTATTTGGGACCGGTTTTGTCTAGTGGGCCACATAATAAATGCAGAAAATCAATCAATCTCCTACATACCATTCGTATTGATATTGATCAAACACCGCATTTTCTGTGTGAAACCTTCATACATACATGTGCTCCCCTTGGTCACGTAACTGTAATAATTTTTCCACATTTTCTTTTGCGCGTGTACACACAAACACGCACACACACACACACGAGCACACGCGCTAAGCAGCCCAAACATGTGATTGTGTCCCTTTTCTATAATTTTATTGTCCTGTGTTTATCTGTGTATACGTGTATTTTGACATCCCATCTCGTCCGGCTGCGTAACACTAGCAACGCATACAGATTACATACTTACACATTTATATAAAGAACATCGCTAAACAAGAACAATAACAACGCAGACACAAAACAATTGAGGGCAAGTGGTTGGTTAGCTGCCACTGCTTATCTATCGTCGCCCCCGTCATTCCCTCATTCGCTTTCGTCATACGGCCTGCAAAATATTTGCCGGCGTTTGAATGCTTATTCGTAAAAGTTCGCTCGCGCCGCAAACATTTGCACACACACACACAGACACTGATACGAAACGACGGTCACAACAAAACGGCAAACTACGCAGTACGTTTTCACTATATAATAATAAAACGATATCCCGCCCCACTAAGTCTATATTCTGCCCGCCTTCGTGTTCGTTACATAATCTATGTAATTATAAATTTCGCGGTTGCCAAAAACAAAAATAATAAATAAAGTGCAACCGGCAAATTTTTACTGAGAGAGGGACAAAAAGAGATAGAGACAAAGAGTGTATGTGTGTGTGTAAGTCTGCCCGACTATTGGGTGTATATTGAGTGTGCTTTTATTTTTATATGAAATGAATTGTATTTATGTTATCATATAAATGCGTGAGTGTAGATTACGAAAGGGGTTTGCATATGTTTAGCGAATCGAAACCTACGACAATTGAGAGATAAGCAACTCATCGACATGCATGTGGGTGTGTATGTGTGTGCTGACTGCGTACGTCAGAATGCGGCTTCTATCGAAAATCAATTTTGCGTGTTATTGCATCAGCTTTAATTACCATTTCACTCTCTTTTTCTCTTTCGTTTCAGAACCCACTCGAACGTAGCAAAAACATCAGCAACAAACTTCTATTCGCGTTAAAACTTTAAAATTATTTAAAAAAAAGTGCAACAAGTGTTTGAAAGAGGAGATCTTTGTCGAATTACGCGTAACTTCGTAAAAGTGCTAGTGTCAGTGAGCGTGAGAGTGAGACAGTGCTAGTGAGAGTGAGTGCAAGCTTGAGGATCTGAAGCTATGTCCGCTTCTACTCGTAATAAACACTCAAAGATCCATGGTAATGAAAAGTTGGATATTTCCAATGATGAGTTTGACCGCATTCGTGACGCTTTAAAGAACGAAGAGTTTCGCAAGTTGTTCTTCGATTACGTGGACGAAATTCAGGATCCGGAGAATCGCAAGATCTACGAGGAGGAGATAACACAGCTGGAAAAGGAGCGTGGCGTTGATGTCACCTTTATACATCCCCAGCCGGGCTTTGTGATTAAAACATCAATTGATGGCGAGCTGAAATGTTTCATTAACATTGCAAGCTGCAAAGTTGTAGAACGCCCCAACAATGAGGTTTCAGTTAATTCCCAAACTGGCCAAAAGGGTCTCAGCTGGTCCATTCCATTGGCCCAGATACCGCCACGCGACGATCTCGATGCCAATAACAAGCTTTGTAAAGTCTATGATGTTGTCTTCCATCCGGATGCACTGCATTTAGCCAAGCGCAACGCGCAGTTCCGTCAATGCCTCATCGATACCGCTCTCGATGGCGTGGAGCGGGAATATCATGTAAATCTGGATCGTGCCAATCTCAAGTTTCCCAAGCTTGACTACAAGGGCATGGCGCGTCCCAGTGTGCTGCGTACTTTATCGAAAAATCCAACAGCCGAGGAGAAGGAACCGCATCCCTTAGAGCACATGTATCCAAAGAAGCCCGAAGCTGATGCCGGTCAGTCTAAGGTCTTGCCAATGAAGACAAAGGTGACGGCCGTGCCAAAATTTGCTGTGCCTAAATACTGCATCAAGCATAGCCATGACGTGGATATGGCTGAATATACAGATGAGCTGGATGCCAAGCTGCATGTGACAGTACCACGTGCTCTGGTCGTTGAGATCGAATTGCCGCTGCTTAGCTCCACGGCCGATTGTCATCTAGATGTGACGGAAAAGTCGGTCTATCTGCTCAGCGAGAAGCAAGGGGCCAAATACAAACTGAAGGTGGATTTACCCTACACTGTGAATGATAAGGCTGGCAATGCACGCTTCGACACGGATCACAGGTGTCTACGCATCACATTGCCCGTGGTGCGTTCCACGCCTCGTGAAGAGCGCAACTTGCACGATACCGTACGAAATCTCAGCCGCGAGGACAGCGGCGTCGAGCTCAACTCGAATGGCGAATCGCCAGTTGAGGATGAGGAACTTGTTGTCGAGCTAAGTGAGCACAATCAAGAAAATGATTCCAATGCATGTAAGTAGGTTATATACATACATATGTATACTAGATATATAGATCTGTTCTAAATTGCGTTGCTTCGCTTTGATTTGTTTATTTAGTCCCACCCACTGCCGTTGTTTCGCCTCGCTCATTCCTTAAGAGCAATCTGCACTATCTGCTGCCCGCCCAGTTTAATTGCAATATTTTGGACAATGTGATTGTCTTCGTGTTGCACGTGTCGAACGTGCAACCGGACTCGGTGCAGACCCTGCAGCAGGCACGCAGCCTGCACTTGCAATTTGCCTCCATGGGCACTGGCTATTATCCCACCCACTATGCGTTCCTAATGCAGCTGCCCGATGGGGTGCAGCCAGAGCTGCGTATCGATCAAGTCGAAGTTGATACTGGCGATGAGAATGTGGTATTGCGACTGACTATGAATGAGCACTGCATGTTGCTGCCTAGCTATCTGGCTGGAACCGATAGCAATGATCTCAAGGAATACCCTGTGTTTGGTCACCAAAATAACAATAATGAGAAAGAAACTGAGGTTGAGGTTGCTGAGATGGAGAAATGCGACCTAGTGTCGGAGAAATCACTACACATTAACATGGACCACAATGATGTGGAGCACGCACTGGAAGTAACAATTGAGCCGCAAGAGAATGAAGCTCCCTTAGACAGTCTAGAACTGCTGCATGAGCATCAGCAGGAGTTGCAACAGCTGCATCATCAGAAGAAACTGAACAAGAAGCAGCGTAAGCGCAACAAGAAGCAACGCTCGCTCTCCGAGTCGGCTTGCGAGGATCTGAAATTGGCTCAAGAGCATCATGAGCAAGTGCTGCAGCAACAGAAGGAGCAGCAACAGCAACAACAATTGAAATTGCAGCAACAGCAGCAGCAGGCAGAACTGCAATTGCAGGAACAACAGGAGCAAAAGGAGAAAGAGAATGAGGCTCAAGAGCAGCTGGAAGATGCGTCTTCAGATTGCTTTACGAGCGTCTCTCAGCCAATGGATACGCTCAAGCTGCCACATCGCAAGCAGCGCAGCTACTCAGAGTGCAACGAGAGCAGCCTTGGTAGCAGCTGCGTGCAACGTGGCATCTTGAAACGTTTCAGTCGCTACGGACCACATCCCTCTATCTCCGATAGCTGCTCATCCATTGATGATTGCTCCTCTACGTATTCGTGCTCAGTGGATGCGGCTGGCACTGGGTTCTCGCAATCGTTCGGCAGCATACCCGAGGAGCGAGGTGGCGATGAAGCAGGTCTGTCGGAGAGCTGCAAGAAGACTGTTAGATTTAATGATCACATCATGAAGCAAGTGTTCAGGTGCGTCTAAATATAAAATGCTTTCAATTGCGACCAATTTCCATCTAATTTGACAATTCGCGTCTCTATTTTTAGGCTTGATTCGAGCATACTGGGCCAACGCAAGAAGAATCAAAAGCGACGCGATTGTAAATTGCGCGCCCAACAGCGTCGCCTCAGCGAGGGCGACTCGGCCGATTACGTGGAGGTGGATTCAACACACGGCAACGGAGATCAGCCCGCCCACAAGGTAAACTTGTGATAGCAACTGATTGGCATCACCTTGTTAATTTGCCGATTTGAGGAGCTAATTGAATTAGTGCGGCAAACGCAAATATTGATTTTCATCTACAGCCAGGTCTAGTACATAGTGTTAAATTATCTATTGTTTGGTCAGGAATTCGGAATTCGGAATAAGTAGTCTTCTACGTGTGTAAGCTAGTTAAATATTTAACATAAATTGCAAATTAATTCGCAACTAAATGCGATAATTTAAAGTAAGCCGGGCATCAACCAGTTTGGTGCAGTCTTATTGCGATTCCAGTTAAATCAACCCAGCTCTATTAACTGAAGGTCAAAGTTCGGAATGATAAAGAAATATTTCAATTTACTTGCAAATCGTATGTGATTTAGGTAAATAGTTAATTGAGTGATGATGATGCTTGAGATTAGTTAGACATGATAACATCAATTGCTGAAAGTTGTTAAGCGTAAAGGGGGAATGCTAGTGAAAGCTGTAAAGTACTGATTAGAGAATAGATAGTATCTCCACTCATTGTCTCATTGAATAAATTTAATCCTATATTCGTATAATTAACTAACTCATGCTTCTTCTTCACCTTTCAGACTGCTGCCAATGCACAGTATTTCAAGCAAAACAACAATAATCATCCTCATGTCAAGGATAACAAGAAGCAGTCGCTGCACGACAGCGGCCTTGACTTGACCAACGGTTCCATTAACAACAAAAACAATCACAGCAACGAAAACGCAACTAAACGCAATGAGGCTGATGCCAAGAATACCATGATGTTTGAAATGGATGATGTTGATGAGGAGGCACAGGATGCTACGAATATATAAAGGAGCTGAGCTCAAGCCACTCTTGATCAGCGAACTGTGCATGTGTTATTTTTCGAGGCAGGTTTTCCATGGAATTTTTGAAGCTACATTTATTAAACTAATTATATACAGCAACAATATAAATGTACTATTATTATTACTATTTTTTTTTAACGAAAAGTTTTTGATTGTAAATTGTTTATCGGCAAACAGGCGCTCAATTTAATAACCATATACAATTGCAAATTGTTTAGGTACATATATTTATAATAATATTAATAATAATAATGAATTAKAAATCAGGGCAAACAAGAAAATCAAAATGATAAAAGGAATATATAAATTCACCTACGTGTACATGGTTATATAAATGCATAAATATAATTGTTATTTAATTTGGTTAAAATGAAATTGGAAACAAATTGTTAAATTACAAAGTTCTCATAATACTATTTTTTAGATCATACAAACACACGCATTACCATCTGAATATATATATATATATATACAAGCACACACATACGTATATATGTATACAAATTTAATTAACAAGAAGTCTCTCATGAAAATTAGTTTAAACAAATGCAAATTACAAATGGCAACAAAACAATATCAATAGTTAACAATGCATATATGCAATACATACACACACACACACACACACACTTGCATTCATAGTGTATAAGCTATTTACATATACTATATACTGGCTGCCGATACTAAATGTACGAGTAGTTTTTAACTTTTTTAAACAGCCACAAGTTAAATATACAACAACAATATAAAACCTTGAGTGTATCTAAATCTTATTGGGGACGTAATGCTTACACTTTTATATAAGCATTTAAAAATTTTTAGATAGTATATTTCATTAATATCGAAACTCATTTGCGCCTAAGACATGACTTTATTCACGCTGCCCTTTAACATCAGCCAGTCTGTTAATTAGCAGCAGCTATTTAGCAGTAACAGCAGCTTGGCTTAGCAACGGCTTAACAGCTGTTAATGGCTGCTCCGTAAGTACGCAATGAAATTTGTGTTCAATTGTTTGCTGCCTTGCTGCAACTTCTGTTCGCCTGGTACTTTAGTCGAAATTTCGTTCGAATCGAGCGAACCAGCGGACGAACTGGTATTTTTGGGCCGTTAGAATTTGAAAGCGAAGTAAATGGCCATTATGCTCATTGAAGAACGATTTACATTAAAATTCTTTTTAAATAATTTATTTTCATGCATATTTATGTAAAATATAAATATAATACTATTTTTAGCAACAAAAACTTCAACAAAATATATACATACATATTTACACAGTTCACGTAAGCTAATTAAAACGCTCCTCCAGCTGTTTACGTATAAATGGCATCTGCTGCAGCTCTCGACGTTTCACTTCCAGCACATAGAGCACCGGACAATCTAGTGAGCCGCACTGCAGATCACCCAATCTGCCGCAACAGGCCTGGCATATCTGCTGCGTCAGCCTGTAGCCACGGTCCAGCTGCGCCAGCTTCGCCTGGAGCGTGACAATGCACTTGGTCGGCATGCGCGCACACTCCGCACAGATGCCCGCTTTGGTCTGCCGGCCGCACTCAATGATGCAGTTGGTCGTGGAGAAATATTGGGATATAGTGGATTTGGCATTGCCGCGATTCAAAAGCTCACCCGCCGCCGACTGGGCGGGCGTCATCAGCAGTTTGCGTGGCAAGTTGCTGAACCTGTGAAGGAATTGAATAGCATAAGATTGTGTTCCAAGAGTGCAGCTCATTCTATTACCAATCATTCACATCGGCTCCTATGAGCAGCAGGCAACGATTGAGTGGAGGTATAATGGCCTTGGTTATATAGTAAATCGCATTGATTTTGTAGCCCTCATTGGCCAGTATCTCGTGTGGGTGACGCACCAGGCGTATGAGCTGCACACCTGGCGGACCATTGATGATGCAGAAGGGCACACGCTCGCCACGACGTGGCACACGTCGGGGATCCTTTAGCATCCATTTGCTGTATGCGTAGACCGGGAGATATTCAGTAAATATATTTTATTTTTTTCTCTTTATCATTTTCTTACCGCGTCAGCTCCAGTGCCGGCACACAGGCTGTGGGCTTATAGCCATTCAGCCCACGAAATTCCTTGGCAAAGATCAAATCCTGCAGATTGGCTCGACCCGAGAGCAGCTTGGTGAATTGCCGGCACACGTACTGTTTGATTTGACTCACGTCCGCCGTTTCGAAGAGCAGCCGCAGCACCTTCTCCAGCATTTTGGCCACGGCTGGACAACCGTCTCGCCGCACCGTTTCAATGCCTTTCGCCTCGTAGACGGGCTGCTCTTGCTCTGGCGTCTCATACATGTAGCCCACATAGCGCTTCTTAGTCTGCAGCATGCACGGCTGATAGACCTTCTCCAGCTTCAGCTTAACTGGGTGGGGATTTATTTCGGTTACTGCTTCTGCGATTTCCTCGCCAATGCGAAAGGCTTCAGCGCGATTGCGTCCGGGCACGAGCACGAACATGGAATCCGTATCGCCATAGACAACACGCACGTTCCACTTCTCGTTCGTCTCCACCAATTTGATGGCACGCTCCAGAGTCTCTCGGCCTTTGGACACTACCGAATCGCCCACCTCGACGGCGGGCATGCGTCCACTGAAATTGGCCGCCGTATAGCCATAGGTGACATTTGCCATCAGCTTCAGGCCCAACTGCCGGGAGTGCAGCACACGCTGCAATGCGGAGCTGTCGCGATGCAGCTTCATCGATTGCTTCACCATGAGACGCGTATCCAGAATCTCGCTCAGCATGCGCGGCAAGATGCCCTCGCGCACCTCCCGCTTAACGAAGACCACGCCACATGGCGAAATGGTTACCAGATCCCGTTCGAGTAGCTGCTGCAGCAGCTGCCGTGAGACACGCAACATCGAGGCACCAAATTCGAACGGGGTGCTGCTGCCCAGATGCTCCACACGGCCCAGGCACGTCGAGAAACAATAGTTGTAGGCGATAATCATACTAGGATACAGACTCTGAAAGTCCAGCACAATGAGCGGATCAGCATAGAATCGAGACTCCGGCTCCATGATGAGTGCCAGATACTCGGGGGCACGCATGTGGGCGCGCTGCTGCACACTGGGCGAAAGCGGCACCAAATTCTTTGGCTTGGCAATTCTATAAATGAATATTGGAATTGATATTGACAATGCTTACAGGTAAATGCAATCTCGCACTTACCGCAACATCATGCTCTCCACCCGAAACTGCGAGCCACGGGAGAGCACCTCGTAGAACTGTATGCCAATCAATTTAGCCATCTCACTCGTGCGGCCCAGCAGATCCAGCTGGTCGAGCAGCGCCAAGGTGCCCCTCACCCGCTCCAAATAGTACTCGAGCACAATCCAGCGGGTGCAGGGCGAAGCATACCAGTCGCTCAGGGCACGCGGACTGTGCCAGGGACAACGCTTGTGCAGGATGTGATACATCACGTTCTCAAAGCTGTACGAGGTGAGCGCAATCTCGGAGCGCATTAGACGCCAAACATCTAAGAGAATCCGACCACAGAGCTTCATCTCCACATCGAGATCTGTAAACGATTCACGATCTTCGTCCACAAAGTCTCGCACCTTCTGCGTGGGCACACGCGACAGCAGTGGCGCAATGTTGAAGCACAAATGCTTGGCACGCTCAATCACATAGCCCCAGGAGCTCATTTCGATCTCGTAGCCGGCATAGATGTCCGCATCCCAGCGTGTGCAAAGCGCCAGCAGCGCTTCAAATGCCTGTGCCTCGCTCTGCACCACCTGCAGCTCAATGTCCGCATCCAGGCCATGATGACGTCCCTCACTTAAGATGTCCTGACTATCGCTGACAATAATATAGCCGCACGCTTTGCTCGGCAGCGACTGTGACTGCTCCGGCAAACTGTGTTCGATGGCGTAGAATAGGCAGCGTATCTCATCATGCAACGGATCCGGCAGCAGCTCGCCACGCGTCGGCACAAACAGCTCCAGTGTCATGGTGGTCAAATAGTTGCACTATGGAAACATAGATCAAATATCAACAATAGCTCAAACAGGATGAGCTCACATCGATTCACCCACCTCTATGTCCGCTTTGGCTTGTTGCAGGTTCTCCAGATTTACCTTGAAGCCAAAGGTATTGTCCAGCGTGGCATTGGTGAGTCCGAAGCTCAGCTCATGGCTATTGCGTCCGCTGCTGATGCTTCTGACGAAGGAGCTGCGCTCCAGTGCCTCCAGGGCAGCATTGCTGCTCACGCTTTTCTCGCTCGACTGACTGCTGCTCGGCTGCTCCTCCTGTGCGGCTTCAAACTGGAGTTTTGTGGCACGCTTGGAGCGCATCTTGCTGCTTAGTGGCGTGCCCTTGGCTTGGGACTTGGCTGCGCCACTGTGCTGTGGCGTCTGTGACATGGGCGTCAGCGTTAGCCCACTGCAATTTAGGTCGCCATCCTCATCGCCACTGGCTCCACCCTCAGCATCAACTTCATTAAGCATCATGGTTATTTTCTGACGCTTGATTTTGATGGGGCTGTCCACATCATTGCCCGCAGGCCGCAGTTCCTCCTTCTCGCCTTGGCGCTGCTTGTGCAGCTCCCTTGCCTTCAGCCACAGCTTGGCATCCTGCCTGCTGGGCGGACTCATTGCGGGCTCCATGACCAGCCGCTGTTCGCTGCTAAAGTACTCCCGCACCTGCTGCTCATTGCGATAGCGCTGCAATATAGCCGGTCCTCCAATCGACACCAACTGCCTCCGTCGCCAGGCAGCCAGACCTTGATTGCTATGCAGAACGCTGCTTTCAAAGGGCTCCAGATCATTGAGCTTGTTGCCCGGTATGCGCAACACCAAAAAGCCCACCTCGGTCATTTTGCTGACATCCGCAGGATTGCTATAGAAGGGTTGCTGGAACACATACTCGGGTATATCCAATTTGCGGCAGCTGTGCAACACCTCCTCATAGCTGGGCGGCAGCTCCAAGGGAGCTATCACAAATGCGTTGGGATCTGCCGAGTTTGTTGAAGTCGTATGAGCATTGGCCTCCAGCTTAATTTGTGCCGACGGCTGGGGACTGTCTATGTCGTCGCTGAATACGGATGGGCTGTTTATGATGAACGAGTGCTCATAGAAACTTTTCATCAGCTCTGGCGTATTGTTATCTAGACTTCGTGGACTACACTGTGGCGTGTCAACATCTTCGTTTGCAGTTTCATCTGCTGCGCCAACTTTTAAAGATTGTTTAGGAGTCAAAGGTGTTGACAATTGACTTAATGGATTCACAGATCTCACTGGCATTAGACTTGTCAAGATTTGACTTTTAGCACTTGTGCCGGAAGCTCGACTGCTACAGCTCTCTGGCATTGGAGTTGCTATAGCTTGACTCCTTGGATTCTCTGGCATTGGAGTTTCCGCAGTTTGACTTCTTGGCACAGTTCGACCCAGTGGAGTCTCTCGAACTGGACTAGTCTTAGTTTGACTCCTTAAATTCTGTCGTACAGAGCTTGATGCAGCTCGACTCTTAGAGCTCCCTGACATGGGAGTTGCTGTAGCTTCACTCCTGGCACCCTCTGGCATTGGACTTGCTACAGTTCGACTCAGTGGAGTTTCTCGGACTCGAGTTGAACTGGATGCAGTTCGACTCCTAGAGCTCTCTCGCTCTAGACTTGCTGTAGCTCGACTCCTAGAGCTATTTGGCATTGGACTTGATGCCTTTTGATTCTGTGGCATGGAACTTGATGCAGCTCGACTCCTAGATCTCTCTGGCGTTGGACTTGTAGCTTGACTCTTTGCATTCGCTGGCATTGCACTTGTTGCATTTCGACACAGTGGAGTCTCTGCAACTGGACTGGCTACATTTTGAGCCATTGGACTTTCTGGACTTTTACTCCTTCCACTCTCTGGTGTGTCTGATGACTGACATTGTGCTATTTTACTCAGCGGTGTCGCTCGTTTGGCCAGCAATGATTCGCGAAAACTCCTTCGTAATCGTCTTAGATTGGGTCTGGCCACAGATCTGTCGCTCTCTGTATCAGATACAATTGCCTCATCATCGCTAGTTGCAGCAGGAGAGTCTGCAACCGGGCTAATCTTTTCCAAATTGATCTTTGCCTTAGGAGCCGGGTGATCCTCTTCAGCTTGTTTAGCTTGCTTGCGTTTACTGCGACGTGGCTGCTTCTGCTCCATTAGTGACTCCTCTGTTGCAAAGACTTCAGAAATGCGTGTATTTTTCTGGCGCGGCGTCAGATAGCAAGCAACGTGCGTTTTGTCCAAATTACGCGTGCTGCGGCGCGTGCTGCGACGTGGAGGAGTGCTAAGTATATATAAAACTATATATATATATAAAGGAACTTTAAAGAGAAGACTAACTTAACATACGAATCATCCCGTAGAGCTTCCAGTTCTGCGAAAGAGTCTGTGGAAATGGTCTTACGGCGCAGCTCGGACATGGCTACCTTCTTGCGCAGCGATACAGCTGGACTATATGTGAAGAATATGGAATTATCAGTAGGGTTTAAATATTCTTGATATGTGATTATACCTCTGAACGTTCGTCTCAAGCTGCTGGCTCAGACGCTTCTTGATGGCATTGCTCGCTGGCACTGGCAGAACAGCTGCTGCCTCCTGCTCCTGTTCTGCAAGTGAATAAGAGTTTTAGAATGAGGGAGTATTAATCTTTAAGATGCCCACACCTACTCTGTGCAGATCTGCTCGTTATAGTCAAAGGTAACGGTGCATATTTCTTGGCCGCACTAGACCTGGGCGTGCGTGGCTGCTGCCTGCTTATGCGACCTTTGGGCGTGGTCGGTGTGCGTGGTGGAGTCCGTTGTTGTGTCCCTCTCTTGCCCTTAGTGGGCGTGCGCTGCAGCTGATCGTCGGCCCCATCGATTTGCGGCATTTCACGCTCCTGACTGGTCGCTGGGCCAGGCACACTCTGACTCTGGCTGAGCTTGAGCAGCAACTCATCGATGTCATCCAAAGCGACGGAAAAGTCATGCGCATTGCCAGCTGCGTTGTCTTCATCCGAGTTGTCGCTCTCGTCTTCGGACAACGGCTGCTGTGTGGCCGCTGCAGCTGTTTGTTTGTCCAACTGCTCAGGTGTTAGCTCGACTGAAAAATCAGTTAGAAATCAATGAAATTAATTATCAAACTTAATTTGTATACGGTTTTACACTTCTTATGCTGCTGCGACAGCTGCGCTAGTGAGCTGTCCAAATCAATGTGTGATTCATTTGCATTCTCTTCCTCCAGCTGCTGCAGCACTTCAAGCAACTCCAAATCCTCTTCGCGCACTGAAATTAGATTCCAATTATTTATTTTATATATTGCTATCAATTTTATATAAGCTTACATGTAGCATCATGTGGCACTGGACCATTGGCTTGTTGCTGCAGTTCCTCATCCACTAACGTATCATCCAGAAAGGCAGCATCATCCTCATTCTGAACGTCCTGGCCTGGACTGTGCACACTGCCGCTGCCCGATAGATGATTTTGTATAGTTGAAGCATTGATCAACTGCTCCTGGGCATCCTGGCTGCATTCCTCTGGATAAACGGCATTGACCAAAAGCTTCTGCAAATTAAATTGACGACGCTGCTCCTTGGCGCTGGTTTGTAGCGTGATATTTATATTGCTGATCTGTGTTTGATCGGCCAGAGTTTGCTCGCCGCTAACTGTTTGGTCCAAGGACAGCAGCTTGCTCTCCAGAGCAGCACGATAGAAATGATGGCTCTCTGCTATTTCCACATTCGGACGCTCCTGCGTGGGCGGCACTTGCAGCACAGGCAGCTGCAAATGAAGCAAATTTATAAGTAAATTTTTAGAGAGATTGGCATGAGTGTAATTCCAACAGGTACCGCATTTAGTTTCTGGCTATCTCCTCCGTAGCTCTCAGCCAGCTTTTGTCTGCGCACGTGCTCATCGTGCCAGATGGCCTCAATGCCGGGATTTGTGTGCGTTGAATTCGTTTTGGTAACCAACTGAAAACGATTCAGTATAAAGTTTGAGCTGATGTCTACTTCTAAAGCACTGCAGGCGACTTTCTTAACAGAACTGGGATCCAGGAGCTGCTGGGGCTTCACATTCGCATAGGCCACAACTGCAAGGAAAGCGAAAAGGAGTTAGAATTCTGGCTAAATGGATTATTTATAATCTTATACCATCTTCCTCAGTTTGCCGACGAAATTTGACAACCTCGAGCGGCACATGCAAGTAGCTCATGCCATACAAATTATAATCGATCATGAATTGTAGAATGTAGGGTACATGCGATTCGTGTGGATTAAAATTTCGGTTCAATATTGCGCCGCTTTGCAATAAATTAGCAGCGCGTCTCACAAAACGGGGATTGAACATGAAAATCTTGAAAAACTGATGCTCCGTGCGATGATAGCCATAGAAGGGACTACAATAAAGTAGAAGAAATATTATTTACAAAAAAAAAAAAATTATATTATATAAATAACTCACATTCCCTTAACCAATTGTATTTTAAAAACATGCTGCGCATTGGAGCTGCCCTGTCCCAGCGATATATTGATGGCCTTGTCCAAATGCATCGCTATTTGCAATATGCCCCGTTCCACAGTTTCAAAGTCCCGCTTATCGTAGGGTATGTAAAAGTAGGGAAAGACACCATGCACATGCATGCAGCATTTCTGGCCATTGGCATTCGCGCCAAATATGCGCACAATGGGCACCTATCAAAGAAGAATATATATATACACACATTATTAATGCCATAATTGAAGAAACAGATAAACTTCTTACGCGTTTAATTTCCTTGCCGCGCAGCTCCGAGTAACACGGATCGAGACCAAACACCGGCTTTTCCATATAAAAATCGGCAATCACCAGCCGCACCGAATAAATGCCGTCTATGTCCGACATTTTCTATTCGTCCTTTAGCATATATACCGGCGAAAATCATTAAAAATTACAGCAGCTCAATTTAAACCAACTTGTTTACTCTTAGTGCTGAGGAATGCCAGGGCTGGAATAACTTTGTACGGCAACATTGTGAAATTCATTAACAGCTCTTGTACAACAGAGAGATTGGCGCCAAATAATGATGTGTGCCAGGGCTACGTAAATCATAATCTGGCAACGCTGCCAAGACGAACTCGTAATTCGATACTTAACGAAACTTGCTTAACGAATATTAAGCGCTTGACGCTATTGAGTAATTAACGAAACTTTAGTCGTTACAATAACACAATTTGAATTCAAGCTCCAATATCTATTTTATAGTGATGACGTAGTAAGCTTAAGCAACGCAATATTTTTAGAAATGAAGACGACCAATACTTAAGCTCTATCAAACTAAGTCACATTATTACGACTAGCGGCTTTGCATTACATTTAATGAGCACACACTTGGGCCACAGTCAATAAACCCTTACACAATGACCTTGTGTAAGATATTGACCATCCATTGTTATCTGTCATCCAATAATAATTCAAGTGAAAGTGTCACCTAAAAGTCCCCCTGTACGTGACCGTGTGTATACTTAAGAGGGCTACAGAGGTAAAACTACCCAATGGGAATCCCAAGAGAATTCCGAAACAGAGCACAGCTCTCCGAAAGACAAAGGCAATGCGTGGCTGTATATAAACTGGTTGCACAATCAGTTGAGCCAAATCAGTCGAACTGAACAGCCTAAGTAGCCAACAACATTTACAATGAAGTCTATCGTGTGCTTAACTTTGCTCGTTGTCGTGACTCTGGCAATAGCTCAACCTTTGGTCAAGGAGACAGTTGATATAAAGGAGGATGTCGTTAGCCCAGCTGCGTTAGAGGAGGTGCAGCCTGCAGCACCCGTTACCCATCAACGTTATAAGCGTGCCACCTGCGATCTGCTCAGCTTCTTGAATGTGAACAATTCAGCCTGCGCTGTTCACTGCTTAGCCAAGCGCTTCAAGGGCGGCTACTGCAATAGCAAAGCTGTTTGCGTTTGTCGTCATTGAATTGTACAACTTTTCCCCCACTTTTCCCAAATAAATGATTTATCAATAAATTAAATGAGCATGCTCTCATATAGTAGTATTAACTTCTATTTAACTCATTTACATTGATTAGTTTTCAACTGCGATATTTTATACAAATATTTATCTACGTTTATCTACAGATTCTTTTCATTTATAATAATTTATTTAGTTTCCCTTAAATAATTTCAATAACTACATTTAACTGTAAATTCTATTCATTTTGTTACGTTTTGTAATAAATAATTTCTCTTATAGAATTTTAATCCACCGTCACATATATAATAAGTAAGAACGGCTACTGCCGACTGCAGAATACTCCTTCACTGTCAAAACGTAACCAGCTCAATTATCTGGCTATGCCCGTTCCTAGTCAAACTAACTGTAATAGTATAGAAGATAAAGGTTCTTTCGATTCGACACAGTCCGGTAGCTGTACATATAATCGCATTCCCGTAAATAATTGTAATTTTACAGACATTTTTTTTAAATTTCCTTACTGTATATAAGTATACATACGCTTAGATTGAAATTGACTTTTTTCCGAAAGTAGAGCGAATTCAGTTGTTATTTTTTGCAAGTAAGTGAGACAGACGTGTTCTAACCGTTCTTTATTAAAATCTCTATTTTGCACAAAATAAACATACGATCATTTCACGGGATTGCGACGATAAGTTCAAATATTTACCACAACATTTCATTTTCCAATTCGCCAGACCTGTAGAACACCTGTTCAAATTGTCTTTGCGATATTTGAAGCATCGTAGCTACGTGGCGGCCTAAGGTGCTAACAACAATTACAATGAAGAATATCGCGTGTCTGATTTTGCTAGTCGCTTTGGCTATGGCAACAGCTCAAACTGAGGTCACGGATATTGGGAATACTACTACTACTACTACTACTACTACTGCAGCAGCTCTTTTGGAGGAGACAAGACGTGGCAGAAAATTCCGAGAGACTTGCACCCGGAACGGCACCAAATTTGTGAAGAACCAAGCCTGCCTAGCTTACTGCATAATGAATGGCTATAGATCCGGACATTGTAACAAAAAGGATTGCATCTGTAGCAAAAAAGGAAGAAAATTGTAAATAATAGAGGAAATTGTAAAATTTGTAAATAAAATTAAAGACCGCTCTCGTACTTATATAAGTTGTTCCATCTATTTTTATATAATTTCAGCTCAATTCCGTAAGAAAAAAAAGAAGAAAGGCTCTAGTCGAGACTGCTCGACTAGGGGATACCCTGAACCCTTCGCATAAACACATTATT